TTGGAAATTTGTTGTTTAAATGATTTACACAGACGATGTTTGTTTCCAAAAGAAATAAATGCACTATATACATACAATTATTAAAAATAAATATACAAGTACTTAAATTTGCATTAGATCTTCTTCATTTGAAGGGATTTGGAATTTTCAACTTACAATTTATATAGACAACCTTTGTTTCCAAAGAAAATAAATGCACTACACGCACAATATTAAAATTAAATATATATGTACTTAAATATGCACAAGATCTTATTTATGTAATAAAATGAAGGAACTTGGAATTTTCTATTTATAATTTAATTGTTTTCAATCATAGACAATATGGATGTGTTTCCAAAGAAAATAAATGCACTATATACACGTACTATTAAAAATGAATATACAAGTAGTTAAATTTGCATACGATCCTATTCATGTAATAAATTGAAGGAATTTGTAATTTTCTATTTATAATTTATACATAATTTATATACTATAATTGTTTCAATCATGATTTACATGACGATATTTGTTTCCAAAGGAAATAAACGCACTATATACACACAATATTAAAAATAAATATACAAGTACTTAAATTTGCATAAGATCCTAAATGTAATAAATTGTAGAAATTTGGAATTTTCCATTATAATTTATATAATTGTTTTCAATCATGAATTACTTAGATGATGTTTGTTTCCAAAGAAAATGAATGCACTGTACAAACAATATTAAAAATAAATATACAAGTATCTAAATTTGCTTAAGATCTTATTCATGTAACAAATTGAAGGAATTTGGAATTTTCTATTTACAATTTATATATAATTGCTTTATTTAATTATAGCTATAGCTTAAGCTCCACCGTCCAATATTTCAATTTTGTGCATTGTTATTGTAAATTTTTTGAACATTTTGAATAATAATTATAAAAAAAACAATCACTAAATTCAAGATTGATTTTTATGATTTAAAAAAATATTTTTTTTGGGAGAGAATAATACATATTTATTTAAAATCTGTTTTTACAAACTAGTATCGTTTTCACATCTGTCCTCTGTTAGTTCACGGCTTATGCCTTGAACTACCTGCAGCACATTTCAAACAGGGCTTGAAATCGAGTGCGATTGGTGGATCGGAGGCACCACTCTAGCAGCATTTTTATTGGGGAGAGGGGAACAAATGTTGGCCAATATATCATAGCCAACATTTGTAGGTACTTCATAAAGACAATTTTTATGGTCAGATGTATATTGCATTTTCCGGGGCTGATCCACAGACCAACGTCTTACACGATTATCACCAAAATCTTTAAATTTTAACCAACTGTTTTCATTCTTCTGATTTATGTGTCCAAATCACTATTATAGCCATCTTCACTATGTACTGTCTATTACCTAACCACCTTCTTCGTGACACATAAAATTTAACAATTTTAATAACAATAAATGTTAATTTATTATTACGCATCATTCCTGATCCTTAGTACAAATATACTGGTAGGAAATTTCTGTAACAATCATATTGAAATGCTGCAAGATAAAATAAAATTTGTTTGAGTCATCCAACAGGTGCAAATAACATATTTTGGGTTGTTGATAATGCAGTGGAAAAAAATAAATAAATCTTCTGTTCTTTTTACATATTATAAACATTATTATCTTCATTCAACAAAATAAACCTTCTTTAGCTTGAGTCGGAGATTGATAATCACTGCTGGTTGATACCAAACCCCCGAAGATGACGAAACTAATTATTTTCTGGGTTAAGGTTCAGTGCAAACAACTAAAAACAATGCAGCATTTAATAGTCTCGGATATGATTAATATTGTCGTCTGAGTTAATAAATGATGGCGTAGCTAAAATGTACGTGGAATAACTGTACAATTTTGTCGCTCCACAAAAGGTCAGTTTCCGATAAGCATGCTATTTCTATTGATGGGTACGGAGGTACCCATCTACACTGTCATCCTCGCACATAGACACTGTTCTAGATTCAAACGATCATGGAAATTATCAAAGTTAGCGACGAAGGCCAAAGCTAAAGTTTAGGACGGGATGTGCCAGATATGATAGATGCAGAGTTCACGGAGTCATGTGATTAAGTTTAGCATTTCCGCACAGATCTTGATGAGATTTGCTTTGTCAAAATTACGTGTTAAGGCTACTTGTAGTTAATTAATACTCTCCTCATGAAATACTGTTAAATAAATATTAATTAATCAAATAATTACCTACTTTTAAGTTTATCCTCGGTATCCGATTCATATTATGAGCAGTGTCGATGGTAAGAATATTAAAGTAATTCTTTCTATATAATAACACAATATGCACATATAGCATAAATAAGGTCAAGTTTTCACGATGATATTAATAGGAAAATAATTTCAGCAGCAACCAAATCCACTTTCAAATTATAAGTAATTTTGTTGATGACCGTCAATAAAAAAAACACAGCTTTTTGTATGATGGTTCGGTTCAGAGGTAAAATAGCTTCAGTTATGTGAATCCATTATCATCGCACTTCATTATTATGTGACAATAATGAAATTGAATCACATGATTTAATTTTGACAATTATCATAATTATACTGCCTTCACATTTTGACACATCATTTTGAAGCATCACATAATGCTGAAAGAATTAGGTATTATTTTAATGGATGTTCCATAAAAAACTGGTAGGAAAAAAAAATTTACTTTGCCAACTCACCTTGACCAACAATAAAATAAATTTTTACAATAAAATAATTTATGAATTGGTTTGGCGCCAGCATTCAGAATGAATAGTATAGTACCAGACACTTATTTTTTCTAATTAAATATTCATGAACACTTTTTTATGAAGAAATTTGCTTGTACGTTCTACATGTGGAAAATACCACCAGCACAATTAAAGTCTGAAACAAGTCTACATCTATATGGTCATATTTATCTGATTTTCGGTGATAAAAATACCGACGTAAATGCAAATAACCAAATTTAAAAATCAACATCATTGTCAGTAACTTGTTCGGAATTATAATGCTTGATGGCTCGCTACTTTATGCAATATACTTTTAAGTGTTCATAATGTATAGTATGCGACGACATCTATCTGTGGTAACGGTAGGCATGTTTGTCATGCATCTTTGTGTTTTCTAGTTTTCTATCTGAAATGACCATTATGTTCTGTGCAAGGTTTGCATCATATTCAAAATATAACATTTCGTAACAATTTCAAAATAGCATTATTATTGAATTTATAGCGTGGAAGTTTTCTTTTTTATCATTATAGCATTTGTAACATACGTGCCAATCTCACATATGCTTTTTATGTGTAAATTCCACATGTATATTGTACCTTTTATGAGTTTTAATTACTATTGTTCTTTCGTACACTTTTTATGCGCCACTCAAAAGCACTTTTTCAATATATTTTATGCGTTTGACATATAAAGTATTCAGTCATGTTCTTCTAATATTTAAAACAACCTCATTTTTATGTGGGTTTCTACATATTATAATTAGTGTGTGTGTTAATTCCACATACATGCCGATTAATATTGCAAAGTTTATGCCACAATATTAATAACAATCTATCATTGTTTGCACACAATGTTTATCCATGTGTATTCTTGCATGTATAAATTTTACATCAAATATGTGTTCATGTGTAGTTTTTACAGGCATTGTAATATGACTAGAAATTGCAAATTGCAAATGAAGTGCTGCGAAGTACAACTGCATATAAATGTTCTTCGAACAAAATTATTTATGCGAGTCAAGTGAAAATAATGAATAATAAAAATATAACAAATAATATGAGACACGACCCATTGTCTATATTAGAACACTTCTCATTGGGTAAACAAAGTCGAAATTTTTCATTTTTGTCAAAAAGTGTCTATAGTGGTGAATTATGGTTTAGGTTTTTTTTAATAAAGTTTCAAAAAATTTCTATGTATGTGGAAAATGTAGTTGATTACCAAAGGTTACAATTTTTATTTTGAAGACTGCATGGTCTAGGAAGTGTACATT